CTCCTAGGCGGCCACGGCAAGGTAGCCCAGCTCTTGACCCCTTTGCTCTTGAAGCGCTCCTGGACTGTCACGAGCGTGATCCGGGCTCAGGAACAAGTCCCCACGATCAAGAAGTTGGGGGAGAGCCAGAATGGGAAGCTGAATGTTCTCGTCAGGAGCCTGGAAGATGTCAAATCTACAGATGACGCCAAGAAAGTCATTGAAGACGCCGGGAGGGAGGGAGAAAAGGGGGTGGACTATGTTGTTTGGAGTGCCGGTTTGTTTTTTTGTTTTTTTTTTCTTTTTTTGTTTTTTTTCGTTTCCCCCCTGCGATGAGATGAGATGGGTGCTGATAGGGATGCAGGTGCTGGTGGGAAGGGTGGTCCGGAGAGGGTAAAGACTGATCAATCCACCTTGTAATGTGTTATGGGGATGCTAACAGGGGTAGACCTACGCCATCGACCGCGACGCCGCCATCCACTTCATCCGCGCAGCTGCCTCCACCCCCTCCATCACCAAGTTCTTGATGGTGTCTTATCTTGCTTCTCGCAAGGCAAAGCCTGCGTGGTGGAGCGAGGAAGAGTGGAAAGCCGCCCAACATGTCAACAATGAGGTCTTGCCGACGTACTACAAGGCCAAGATTGCTGCTGATGAGGAGCTGTACCGTGTTTCGAGGGAGAGTGAGACGCTTGTGGGGATTAACCTCCGTCCTGGGACGTTAACGCTGGAGCCGGCCGGGAAGGTGGAGTTGGGGAGGACGAAGGGGTCGGGTGGGGATGTGAGCAGGGAGACGGTCGCTGTTGTTGCTGATGAGTTGTTGGCCAGGGAGGGGGTGAGGAATGGTTGGATTGATTTGTTGGATGGGGCCGAGGGGGTGAGGGAGGCGGTGGAGAGGGTTGTGAGGGAGGGGGTTGATGCTGCGGAGGGGGATCCGGTTTACGATGAGTAGGTACGGGTTGTGGTATAGATTTATGGTGGATTTTGTCTACTCGGGAGGATCTGCGTTGGGAATGATTTAAGTGTTCGGTGAAAGAAAATCTGCGGTTTGTCAATGAATGCCGACAAGAGACCGATTGACGAGAGCCGTGGGAGCAACCAGACTGCCTGACCTACGGGGGGCAACCTCCATATAGCCCTCCACCAACTCGGCCGTGTAATCAATAGTCATTTGGATCGTACGTAAATTCGTTTGATACCGGGTCACTCTCCCATGTGCCGGTCAAAGTCAGTCACGCAGTTCAACCGAAAGGCGGCAAAAAGTGGCCGAGACATAACCTAGCATTTGATATCTCTTTGGCTGCGGTGCCCGAGTCGGCCTTTAGACAGGCCTTTCCTGCAGCTTGCCGATGAAACAGCTCGTGATTTTTATGTGGCAGAGGGCTGACATATGACAATTGCAGCTCCCTCTACTGAAGAAAGAGGTGATAGTATTCCATCTGAGGCACAGGGAAAAGCTACAAACAAGCAAATTGAAGACTGGCGGAAACCCTGAGAGCAACCTGCCCGCCTGGCCCAAAACAGGGAGCACTTCATTCTCCCACACGCGAGGAGTAACTCAAAATGGGCAGGCATACAAGGTCAACTCATTGTCTCTGGCGTCCTCAATCTTCACCTCGGTCACCACCTTTGAGTCGTCCTCGTCGCCAACATGAAGGCGTCTCCCCTCACCACCGGGCTCCTGCCCCTCGCCTCCCTTGTCTTGGCCGTCCCAGTTCCCGACCCCATCACGATCAAACCTCCCCGGTGCTGCCACGCCGGTGATCATCCCGCCTGCCACCGGCAGCGGTTGCGTTTCCGGACCGCTCGGGGAGGATAAATTCAAGACTAACCTCGGACCGATCGGCATTGCTCCCCAGAGACCGAATAATTGGGACGGGGTATAACCCCCGCTGTTTGTTGAGGGATTCTTTCCCCCGCGATCAGCTAGCAGGCGTTGCGGCCGAGCAATGTGACTTTTTTGCTTGAGCAGGAGTGTTTTGCGGATTTTAATGTCAATCTGGACGCACCGCCGAATGGGCTTGGGGTGCACCCGGGGTGGGGGGGGGGGGCGGGGGCATCTATCGGTTGGGATGGTGGAGTTGGGTGTGTTTGTTAGTCCGGGGGATCCCGATCTTTTATCTCATCATGGGAATATGGATAGGCAGTGGGCGATTTGGCAGGGGGCAGGATCAGGAGGGACGGACAGGGGTGGTTTGGGGCACGCAGACTACGGGGAATGGTGAGTTTTATCTTTTTGACTTTGCCCGTATGTCCTAGTGCCAACTTCACGCTTGACACGGCCGGTGCCGTTTGGGTATCTTTCGCAGGATGTGCCGCTTTTTTAGGGAGCTGGATGGAGTTTACGATCGAGGGGCCGCATTGCTACATCTATGAGTAGGCAGGTATGTTATGTATGTATGTACGGGGTTGCAACCCGTGGAGATGAAGAAATGACAATGAATCCTTATCAATCAATGTATTGCCCGTGTGCTTTTTCCCACTTGTGGGGTTGTGTGACAAGGAAGTCTGGATATGCGGGTAATGCCACGTTTCTCGGAGGGCCATCCCACCGGCACCGGGTGGTAAGGTGAGTGGTAGTATGCCGACGGCAAGGCCGGGGAAGAGTGCCGTAGCGGGGCCGCGGCGGTGACCTTTTGCTGGAGAGAATGGGTTGGTTTTTTTTTTTCCTTGGCTTTTTTTTTCTTTTTTTCTTTTTGTTTCTTTTTCTTTGTTGCTTACCAAAGAGACCACCCGGAGACATATTTTGACACAAGGTCCTCGGAGACAGAAAAGGAGACAAAAACCTCGGCATGCGTCTCATTAATGGCCCCGTACCGGCATCGATTTTATGTTCGATTAGTAAGGTGACGGTGGGACGGCGAATGTTTTGGTAAAAACCGGGCAAGAACATGACCCCGAGACCCCCTAACTGCCTCGGTGGGTAACGGTGGGGTGGCGGGGTGGGAATGGGCAACCCCAATGTGTGCCCAGGCCGGAATCTTGGATCAGTGTGATTGTGTGCGTCATATATCAAGGGGAACGACGACGTCCGACTGAGAAGAGATCAGCTTTTCCCCGCAGTGGTGTTGATATTTGGAGTTCACTTTAACTACCTACCACACCTCACCTCATCTTATCACAACACTCTCATACTACCACCACCTGCCATCACGTCAATCCACGTTGAATAACCTCACCACCACCGGCCAAAAATGAAAGAAGCCCTCGTCAGCAAAGGCCCTCAGGTCGAGATAGTTAACACCCCCATCCCCTCCCTCCCCTCCCCGGACCACATCCTCATCCGCGTCGTCGTCACCGGCACCAACCCAAAAGACTGGAAACTCCCCGACCTCTACGAGCAGGACGCCCGCACCAACCCAGGCGATGACATCGCCGGCATAGTCCACACCGTCGGCGCCAACGTCTTTGAGTTCAAGCCCGGTGACCGCGTCGCCGCCTTCCACGAGATGCGCACCCCCCACGGCAGCTTCGCCGAGTACGCCGTCGCCTGGCAGCACACCACCTTCCACATCCCCAGCAACATCTCGTTCGAGGAGGCTGCCGCTCTGCCCCTCGCGGCCATGACCTCTGTTGTGGGGTTGTACGACCGGTTGAGGCTCCCGCAGCCGTGGTCGCCCGAGGTGAGCAGAGACGAGGTGACGGATATTCCGCTGCTGATTTACGGCGCGTCGTCCGCGGTGGGGTTTTACGGGTTGCAGTTTGCGCTGAGGAGCAACATGCACCCTTTGATCTGCGTGGCTGGGTCGGCGAAGGAGTATGTGAGGGGGTTTATCGATGAGTCAAAGGGGGATGTGGTTGTTGATTACAGGGATGGACCGGAGGCGACGGTGGAGGGGATCAAGAAGGCGCTGAAGGGGAGGGAGTTGAAGTACGCTCTTGATGCGGTTTCGTTGCCGGAGAGTCTCGACAATATTGCCGAGGTGCTGTCGACGGATGGGGGCCATGTCACTCTTGTGCTTGGACATCCGAAGAAGGGGTTGAAGGAGGGGCAAAAGTACAGCGTTACCATGGTGGGCGATGTTCATAACGATCACAGGGATTTGGGGTATGTTTACTTTAGGTATATTGCTAGGGGGTTGGCCGAGGGCTGGTTTAAGCCGCAGAGGGTTGAGGTCGTGCCCGGTGGATTGGGGGGTGTTCGGAAGGCGTTGGAGGACTTGAAGAAGGGGAGGGCGAGTGGAGTCAAGTATGTGATGAGGATTGAGGAGACGGAGGGGTTGGTCAAGGGGGATAGGTGAGTCCCCCCAGTGGATGTTTGTCAGAATGACTGGAAGTTGGTGTGAGGAGAAGAGTAGACTCGTAGGCAAGGCCTTTAGACTCGAGTAAATAGATTGTTATGTGCCATACCTAGCTTGTTGAAGCACTCCAACCAAGGCCTGACTGTCTCTCATGCTGTCAAGTGCCCTTTGTCATTCATGCCATTCGATAATGAACCCTAGTGTCCCCGCCATCTTACCGCCGTTTCTTTCCCGCAATTTGATCATCGGGGACGATCCAGAAAGACGTTGGTTGGACTCTGCAGGGCCAACACTACGCCACATCCCCTTTCCGTATGCCCAATTTGAAGATCCGGAGCTTGTGCGTGAAGCTTTCCAGGACCTACCGGAATCTCAGAGGATACCGCTCTGGTCGGTAAACTCCCGAAAGTGTTTTGGCTGGGTCCTTTTAACCAGCCATGAAATCATGGCGCTGTTTATTCAGTCTTACTGTGGCAAAGAAGCGAGTAGAGCGAAAGACTTTACGTAAGTCGTGTGGAAATCGATGCTTTCTACGGCCGCAGTTTTTTTTTTTCATTTTTTTTTTTTTCATATATACACACTCTGGCCTATGAGCAACAGGGCTGGGAAGTATGTGTTGACAGAGTTGGGTCCACATTAGGAATCATTGTTTCAGTTCGACAAATGGTCGGTGTAGTGTTAGTGGTTAGTGAGAGGGGCGTAGTGCATCCCAAAGTCCGAGGTCTATCCAACTGCTCGCACTTGACAGCATTCCTCGGGTAAGGCTGATAGATGACTGCCTTATCGAGATTGAGACTACAGTCACCGCATAAGCTGCCTGCATACCTTGAGACAGGGAATATGGGGCGTTACTAAGGATCTTCGACATCATGATCATTATGATCGCACCATGAGCGAGGCCAAGAACAGCGCCTCACCTAATCAGCCCTGCGGTGCTACTTTCAGCTGTCGTTGCAGCTGAAGACAGCGTGTAGAATCCTAAACTTGATGTGGATCTTGTTGCTGCTGATCGGGAACGGCCAGTCATTCACTGCTTCTCGTCGGGCCGTCAACGTATCGCATGAACGAGCAGAACGAGATGTGGTGGTGTATCAATCCTCAAGGAAGGCATGGTGATGGACCATCATTCATGATTCCATACCTCATAGCCTTTGTCACTGAACAGAGGGTACAACCAAGACGTCGAATTTGAGTATAAGAAGCCACGAACACGCTCGCCATCACTGCTCTTTCTTTCACCATCAGTCTCTCAGACATCACCGTCTTCTCACACACAACTTCACACCAACGCCAACCTTCAACAAAATGCAATTCACCACCGCCCTCCTCCTCGCCCTCCAGGCCACCTTCGCCCTCACCAGCCCCGCCCCCGCCCCCGCGGCCGACCTTTCCACCGCCCAACTCGAAGCCGAGTGCGGCAGTCTCCACGCCAACACCTACAACGAGACCGCTCTCCCCTCCGACGTTGATCCAGCCCAGATCCGTCACTGGTAAGTGATCCCTTTCCCCTACCTAACCGAGCGGTTTGCTAACCGCAGACAAAAAAGCGCCGAACACCCCTCCGGCACCGCCACCGAGGAAAACACCCTCGGCAAACGCGACTGCGTCCCGGGCAGCGCGGCCCAGTACGGCTGCGGCAGGGGCGGGTACTGCTGGAGGCGCTGCGGCGGGAGCGGGGGCTCGTGGTGCTGGCAGGCGGTGAACAACGGCTGGGGTGACTGGATCAAGTGCACTGCGAACAGCCAGTGTGCTCCGAAAAGCGGGTGGGGGTGTGGTCAGAGCGAGGGGGATTGCAATGCTTGCGGGTGCTCTTGCACGGGTGGTTTGCCTTTCTAGATGATGAGTTGGCAGAGGAGACGGCTCAGTAGGGGTTGAATAGGATAAGGGGACGGGAAAGACATTGGAAGGTCAAAAGCAACAATGATGGATCGCTTCCAAGGGGTTAGAAGTGGTGTGAACAGTAGCTAGGTACCTAGTTTTGTCTTTCTCTCATTCATCACCAACACACAGAATTGAAAATTTGGATAAACATCGTCGGTGTGTGCACGTAACCCTATCGGTTGGTCTCGTAGCTCATAATCATTGACATATCCCTTCCCCTTCCTCTCATTCCCAACTACCCACCTACCTAAGTAAAAGACATAAACAACCACCTCATTCCCAACAAGGACAACAGAATATTAACCACCCACCACCACCCTCCCTCTTTTCCCCATAAAAACAGGACAGAAACCCAACCCGCAACCCCCAGCCTCTCCCCACGTCCTCACCAAGCTAATCAAACCTCCCCCAATAAGGACACCCACCCACAGCACAGGGGTATTTATTCGACACAACCTCTTCAACCCTGCCATTCACACCACCACACTCGACATTTTCTTTTTTTATCTTTAAGTCAGCAACCTGATTCCAAACCATGAAAAAACAAGATAGACACAAACATACCGCAGCTCTCACACAAACTCGTAATCCTATGCCCGCAGCGGTGGTGAATGATGATTCTAAGGGTGCACATTCTCCCAGGGTAGGTAGTAGTAGGTATTTTACACTTGCGTCCTGTGATCTGCCAAAACAACAAGACAAATCAACTTGTCTATACGTAGGTAGGTAGGTGGGGATAAAGATATCTGATAAGGTAGGTAAGCAAAGATTTGCTGTCGTCTCTATTTCCAAGTTCCGGACTTGGTGACACGGTAACTGAGCCGCAAAAAGCAGGTGAGGTAAGTGGCAGTCGTCGAATGTGGAAACTTTTTTTTTCTGCTGCCGCACTCGCAAAGAGCCAATGCGGGCACAAGCCGGACACGGGGAGGTGGTGGAACTGACAAGTGGTTCAACAAAGTCGTGGACAAGAGTCGAAGTCGTGAAGAAAGAGGGGGCCAAGGTGGGCATGCCTCTGCTTTTAACTTCGTGGCGTAGGACCCCATAGTCGAAAGCAGACTAATCATACCTACCCAGGGTTTTGATAACATGCCTTGTTCATCATAGTCATCCTCCATGGCCAGCAGTAGGTATGTATGGCTCACCACTTCCCTCCCAACACCATCACCAAACCACATGCCAGGTCCTAGTCACACACAAACACACACACACACAACTTGACCATACCCCTCACTTCTCTCGTCTGCTGCTCCACCCCTTTCATTCCCCCCTCAATGCTATACCGTATGTGCCATTGATAGCGGACAGGTGGGTAGGTTGGTAACAGTTCCTCATTATATCCCTTCCCGACTCCCGAGGTGCCGACATGACGGAGTCGTCTGTGCAAGAACTACTATTACTTTGTAACGAGGCGTTGCCGGTAGATAACCTAGTAGCGATGAACACCTATCATCACTAGCATACATTGCTATTTGACAGTTCTCCTCGAGCTGGGGCAACGATGATGATCATAGGTACCCAGGCAGATCCCCACGGGCCATCCATGCATACAGCCCGCGCTCATCCAGGTCAGCCGTCCACTTGTGTCCGATAAACGCCATACCAAACCCTTCGTATACACCCACCCCCCCCCCCCCCTCCTTAAGATATTGAAACCACCCAAAAGCACTCCTAAGAAACTGGTCAACTGACTCCCTTTTCAGCACTCAAATTTACTCGCTCAAAAGATAATTACCTTCCCACCTACCCGTTATATAACATTAATGCCATCCCATGTCCCAGCCCGTCTGGTGTAAATCCGAAACCTTGTCCCGCCCGCTTCTGATCTCTGGCCTTTTCGTCTGTCGTCAACATCATACTAAAGTGGACCCAATGTTCGGATACCTCAAGATCCGAAACAAAACAAGGCGACATCACAACCAACCCTCCCATTCCTCATCACCCCTCCTCACAATCGGCACCGCCGCCGCACAAAGGACCGCAGCACGGGACGCAATCCATAACACAACAAAGTGCGCCCCGAGCAACACCCAACTCCTCCTCCATCCTACCATCCAGCCCGAGTTCCTTACACCACCACCAACCGGGTGCACAACCCTCGGACTACCATCAGGTCCAACCCTAATAACAACAGGACTACCACTCCCATCATCAGCTCCCCCTCCCTCC